GGCCCGGCACCGCATCATGGAGGTGGTCGACGCCATCCCCACCACGGCGCAGAGGTGAGCAGGGTTGGGGGGGGACTGGATGCACCCCCCCAGGGACATCACGTTCACCTTCCTCTGCCTTCCACCCCTGTCCCTGCAGCCACCAGCGGACCTTTGTGCTGGAGGTGATGGGCCGCCACTGCGGGTAAGCCCACCACAGGTGGGGAAGCCGTCAGCGGGATGGGACACCATGTTTTTGGGGCCACCGCTGCCATGTCCCCTCCCAAGGTACCTGGCACTGGTATCCGGCTTGGCCTCGGGCGCTGACTGGCTCTTCATCCCTGAATCACCACCAGAGGACGGCTGGGAGGACCTGATGTGTGAGAGGCTTGGGGAGGTGAGGTCCCGTCCCCCTTTTCTCCTCTGCAGGGACCCGGTTTGAGCCCTGGGGCTGGCGCCTGGCCCCTGCAAAGCTTCTGGAGCTCCTGGCATTGTTCCTGTGAAACAGGAGCACAAATCCAGTCCTCATGTGCCAGGGGGTTTGGAAACCTGGAAACTGAATTCCCAAAAGATGCACAGGTTCATCCTCCGGTAAATTTTGGCTAAGCCGTGGTGGCCATTTTCCTCCCCCAGACGCGCAGCCGAGGGTCGCGGCTCAACATCATCATCATTGCCGAGGGCGCCATCGACCGCAACGGCAAACCCATCACCTCCAACTACGTGAAGGATGTAAGCGCCTACTCCAGCACCCGTTTTGGCACCCGTTTTGGCACGCGCAGTGACCGTCCTCTGTTGTCCCCACAGCTGGTGGTGCGACGTTTGGGCTTCGACACGCGGGTCACTGTCCTCGGCCACGTGCAGCGCGGAGGGACCCCGTCAGCCTTCGACCGCGTATTGGTATGTCCAGGGTGGGGGACACGGTGAAGCAATGCTGGGCAGAGCGATGCACCCCATTATTTTCCCCTCATTTGCTGCAGATTTTTAAAGAAAAACAACAAATCGGGCATGCACGCAGCTGCATGGTTTCCAAAACCTGGTGGCCCCAAGGTCAGGGGGTGATGGGTGCCCCCATTTTCTTCTGTTGCAGAGCAGCAAGATGGGGATGGAGGCCGTGATGGCGCTGCTGGAGGCCACGCCGGACACCCCAGCCTGTGTGGTGAGCCTCTCCGGGAACCAGTCGGTGCGGCTGCCGCTGATGGAATGCGTCCAGGTGGTGAGTACTGGGATGGGGGAGGTATTCGGGCACCCCAACCTGCTGGATGGGGGTTCCCACAAAGGTGGGGATCCCTGCAAAGACGGGTGTCACGGTGCTGCATCTCTCCCCTCCCCAAGACGAAGGATGTGCAGAAGGCCATGGATGAGAAGAGGTTTGAAGAGGCCATTCAGCTCCGCGGGAGGTGAGGATGGGGGGAGATGTGTCCCTAAAGAATGTGCTGGAGTGGGGCCTTATCCCCAGGGAGACATCAGCAGCTCCTGCAGCCGGGGAGGGTTCTCCCCTATGCCTCGGGGTCCAGGTGCACCTCAGGGCCGCACCACTTTGTCCTTGTAGGAGCTTTGAGAACAACTGGAACATCTACAAGCTGCTGGCGCACCAGAAACCAGCGCAGGAGAAGGTGAGGAGGGATGGGGGGACACTGTCCCCACCATGGGCACATGCACTGATGTGCCACCCCTATCTCCATCCCTGTAGAGCCCCTTCAGCCTGGCCATCCTGAACGTGGGTGCCCCCGCCGCCGGCATGAACGCTGCCGTCCGGTCGGCCGTGCGGATCGGCATCTGCCAGGGACACACGGTCTACGTGGTGAGCGACGGCTTCGAGGGCTTGTCCAAGGGGCAGGTGAGCCTGGGAGATGTGGGTTTCTCGGGGGAGGATGAGTTTGGGGTTGGAGGAGAGTGGTGGGGTGCTCCCTCACTCCGAAACTGAGTGCTGGTGGTTGCAGATCCGTGAGGTGGGCTGGCACGACGTGGCGGGCTGGCTGGGACGCGGTGGGTCCATGCTGGGCACCAAGCGGTAAGCACAGCCCCGGGGGGTTAGGGGATGGAGTGGAGGGGACACCACTGTCCCCGGTGATTGCAGGGACCCGCATTATCTCCCCTCAATCTCACTGCAGGACGCTGCCCAAGACCTGCATGGAGAAGATCGTGGAGAACGTGCGGAAATTCAACATCCAGGGGCTGCTGGTCATCGGGGGCTTCGAGGTGCGCCCTGTTTTGGGGGTGGGAAACCGGCATGGGCTGTTGGGAGGAGTAGAGGATGGCACCCCAGGCCATCCTTTTTGGGGTGAAGATCCAGCATCTCCCCAACCCTCAACTGCTCGCAGGCATACGAGGGGGTGCTGCAGCTGGTGGAGGCCCGTGGGCAGTACGAGGAGCTCTGCATCATCATGTGCGTCATCCCCGCCACCATCAGCAACAACGTGCCCGGCACCGACTTCAGCCTGGGCTCCGACACGGCCGTCAACGCAGCCATGGAGGTGAGGTACAGGGAGCTCACGGGGTCCACCAGGTCCCACCATGTCTTGGGGTCCCAACCCGTTTCTCCTGGTGCAGAGCTGTGACCGCATCAAGCAGTCGGCCTCAGGCACCAAGCGCCGCGTCTTCATCGTGGAGACGATGGGGGGCTACTGCGGGTACCTGTCGACTGTCACTGGCATCGCAGTGGGTGCAGATGCCGCCTACGTCTACGAAGATCCCTTCACCATCCACGACCTGAAGGTGAGCACGGCAAGGAGGGGGTTTCTGGCAGTGTTGTTTGGGTGAAATAAGAAGGAAAATGGGGAAAAGGAGGGCTCCAGGGAGGGATTTGGAGCATGGCCAAGCCCTATGGCTTGATGTTGGTGGCATTTGGGTCCGAACAAATGGACCAGAGGTCCAGCATCGTGGCCTTCATCTTGCAGGCCAATGTGGAGCACTTGACGGACAAAATGAAGACGGATATCCAGAGAGGGCTGGTGCTGCGGTGAGTTGGGGACCCCCAGGGATGCTTGCTGGAAAAGCCAGCACCGTGGTGGGTAGTGAGGCCAAAGCTAAGCCCTTCCCGTGGCCGGAGAGGGGCCCTGGGCACCAGGAGGTTGGGTGCACAGGGATGCAGTGCTCAGCCAGGGTCTCTGGGGAAGATGGGCCTCGGGGAGAGCAAACCAGCAAAAAAAAAGGCATTTTGGGGAGCATGGAGGGACCCCCTGGGGATGCCAT